TAAAATAGAGAGCCTTGGTGATATACATCTCCTTGTTAACAATGCGGGAATTGCAATATTGGGTCCTTTTGAAGAAATCAAGTTTGAGGATTTTGACAAGTATGGGTTCCTTTCTTATTATTTTTGGCATTATTAAGTAAGGTGACATATCAAGATATCTTTTCAACCTCAACTAGAATCAAGAATCCACAATCCTTGAACTTGGTATACAATTTTATTGATGGAAACATATAAAACATCAAATTATATCCTCTTTTAGCTTATTAATGAACTACAAAGTTTTTTAATTCTTAGCTTTGTATAGCACATATAGTGCAAAGCACCCTCACAATAACAAAGAAGCACAAAGCTGGGAATTTTATTTTTTGAGTGATAAAAACATGATATGTTAAGAACAAGTACAGAGGGTGAGTATTGAAGACATCATAATTCTTTTTATTATATAGACTGACACAAGTGTTTTCCTGTGAAAAAGTGGGAAATGACATCATCAATATCCTTGCTAGTGAGGGTGTGAAAATTCTGCCTCTCAGGTCACAGAAACTTAGTTTTGTGTGAATTTTATGAGTGGTGTGCTTTTCAGTAAAACACTTGTCATTTTTTAATAATAAACTAAACAAGCCATGAAATCAACTTAGCGTTTAAATAAATATGCAAGGGGTTGTGAGGGATTTATTATAGGCTCAAGTGGTGTTTTGTTTTGCTTTCTTGTAGGATATTTTCAGTGAATGTCAAGGCACCTTTATTCATTGCACAGGTATAACACTGAATCAGTAACTAATGTTCCATTCAGTACAACTGTTAATCCTTTACATCGATTAATGTAATTCATCATAACAATGCATTTTGGTCAAAATGACTGAAACGTTTCGCTTGAAAAATATGCAGAGCATGTAATGCAAGAAATTCTGTGTGTTCAGAAATGGTCAGAATCTGTACCTGCTACCATTTTAAAAATTGCAAACCAATTCTGAATAAAATGACTCAAAAAATATTTTTTGACTGTCCTGTCTTTTGTGCTCTATCACTGAGAGCTACCCTGATGCAAGATAATGATAGTAAGTAGACTGAGTTTTGTGAAAAATTCAGTGGACGACTGAGATCTCTACATGCAATAACATCAAATGTGTTGCCATGCCAACTTGAAAAGAGTTTAAATTTTTGACTTTTTAAAATTTAAAATGGATAATTTAAAGGCAGTGAAAATTTCCTCTTTTGAATTGTTTTTGTTCTCAGCCCTGGGTTCAGAACTTTTTCAAAACTGTTGCATAACATAAACTTTTTGTAGACTCTGAGGTTTGAGATTTTTGTGATTTTCTTTGCGATCTGCTTAAACTTCCAACAAAACATTTTCCAACAATATCTTCTTAGAATACTGAAAACTTAACTCCACACTGAAGATGAAGAGTGTTAATTAGAAAAGAAAATTAGTGATACAATAAGTTATAACTGATCTGGATATGTAAAGGGACTAAATAACAGACATTGTCTGAATATATATTAGTTATCAAGTGGTACATGTAGGAGGTGTGGTTTTTGTATGAGATTTACAAGAGCAATCCACCAAAGGAGAACAAGACTTATATGTACTTGTGAATCTAGAAGTTAACTTATAATTTCACTCCTGTACCTTATATTAAACCAAAGTATCGACAGAAGTAGTTCTAACTAATTAT